CAATCCCAAATTTCCCATTTTGGCCCATAGATATCAGTGGGGCACTTCCCATCTTCATTCACTTCTCCATGCCTGCTTTCCTTAACCTCTCCAACACAATCACCCCAACCTTGTACTTTCAAGTAAAAGCCAAAATACCATGAATTACTGAAGAGAAAGCACCACCTAAATAAGGTTACTTTCTATTAAAACAAGAGGACCTCTCTACATCCAGCTAGACCATAAAAGGGTTTAAAGAACATATAAACTCTTCATTATTGAATAATTGTAAGTCATAGCAGAGCTCTCATGATTCAAAATGAATAAACAAAAAAATGAGGAAAAGAAGTTGGAAGAGCAGGAACAGGTAAGAAGCACAACCCAGAGGTGGTGAAACATCCTGCAAAAGTACAAGGAGGCCAATGCCTTTCCAGAAGCTTGGCAGTGGTGCACTTCAGGGGAATGACTAGCCATAGGACACAGAAACAAGCATCATGGAGCCTGTATGAAGGTATCTGGAAAGTTGTTTTTCAAAAAGGAATCTATGGGACGATAAATGAAGATATAACTGATCCAAATGGAAAGTGAGCTGGCAATAGTACAAACATGAATAAAAGGAAACTCATGAAAGATGAGGAATGGGTGCAATGAAACCCAAATGTAAATTCACCAAAATTAAAATATGTTATCAGCAAAGAATAGAGAGTCTATGCTGCAGAAAATTGAATGTGTGAGGGCAAACTTGAGACAAACTTCCAGAATTTGATGAATTGGGGCAAGGAGGTAAAAAGGATTAGAGAAGAAGAGATAACAGATAAGAGGTTAGAAAACAGATACCAAACACTTCAGAGGAAGATAATGAAGACGTGGGGTGGCATCACTGATCCTTTATAATTGAGACATGTTTCAAGGGAATAGAATGTTCATAATTCAAAATCAATTAAAAGGAACTAAACCACACACACAAGAAAAAAGAAAGAAGGGAGGAAAGAAGGAAATATTTTTGATGTAGTAGAAAAATAATCTTTGTGTTAGGGAACAAAGAGAAACTACTACAACTATGAAGGTCGAACAGACAGGGTGCGGCCAGGTGCAGTGGCTCACGCCTGTAATCCCAGCACTTTGGGAGGCTGAAGTGGGTGGATCACTTGAGGTCAGGAGTTCAAAACCAGCCTGGCCAACATGGTGAAAACCCGTCTCTACTAAAAATATAAAAATTAGCCAGACATGATGGCAGGCACTTGTAATCCCAGCTACTCAAGAGGCTAAGGCAAGAGAATCCCTTGTACCCAGGAGGTGGAGGTTGCAGTGAGCTGAGGTTGCCCCACTGCACTCCAGTCTAGGGGACAGAGAGAGACCCCCATCGCCCCGTCCAAAAAAAAGAAAGAAAAGAAAAAGAAAAAGAAAAAACAGGGTACATACAAAGAAAGAAAAATTAGACTGGCTACCATAAGATTACACACCAGAGTAAATTTGGACACGTCTACACTGTTTTAATGTGTTACCCATAAAATCTCTAGGCAGGGAATGTAGAATTCCTAGGCAAAGGGAAGAAAAAGATATTCACATATGTATTAATATGCAAAAAACTCCATTGATTTACATTTTAAAAAAGAAAAACTATTTTTAAGGTGTTCTCTGAAAAATGTAAGATGAATCAACATTGAGAAAAAAGAATGAGGACATGATTGCATAGAATGGGTAGAGATGAGCAATGCAAGTAATTAAACACAAAGTTGAATTTTAAAATGATCTGAACATGATTATAAGACAATTTAAATGCCATAGGTAATTCCTATTTGGGAAAATTAACATTGGAAAAATTATATTTTGCTTCAAATAAATAGAACACAGATGATTTTATAAGCAGTATGTATATGCTCAAGGTGCAGATGTATCCTAGGACATTTAAAGTGCTCCAGGTCGTAGAACAATAGAGACCAAGTACAGACTTCACTCGTTCACAAATATAGGCACAAAACTCCTCAGTTCACAGTACGTAACATCACTGTCTACATTAAAATAATATTTCAGATCACAGCCGAATACAGTTTCCTTAGAAATGTAAAGTAGCTGAATATTAGAAAATCTATAAGATTTTATTAATTCAAGTAAATAGTTATTTTTCTAGATACTAAAGAAGTTTTTGATAAAAGTAATCATCCAGTCTGGACTTTGTTAAATTAATAAGCTAAGAAAAAATTGTAATCATGAAGAAGATATCAAATATTAATATCAAACCAAGAGCCATTTCACTTAATTCTTAAATGCTTAGAGTCATTCTCATTTTGAAGTTAGGTTTATGGTGAGGATGCTCATAAAATCCTCAGCCTTAAACACTGGTCTCAAAACTCTAGCCAAGATCATAAGATAAGAAAAAGAAGTAAGCAAAGCTGATGGTCAAAATTTATAAATGATACTGTTTTCTATCCAGACAAACAGAAAAATCCATGGAAATACTTTTAGGTATAACTAGAGAGTTCACTGAAGTTGCAAATAAATATATAAATAATCCAGAAATTTCCTATATAACTAAAACAAGCACTTAGAAGCAATGTAGTGAAAAATACACTTTTTTGATTAACAAAGCTTTTTTAAATATTGAAATGAAAAGTTTTTGATGATATATTCAGGAACTACATAAAAAGGATACAAAAAGAATCCCTACAATACTTTACTGATGAACATCAAAGCAGATCTGAATAAGTGAATAAAAATATCAGATTTTATAAAAGTAACATAGACAAACAGTCAATAAACCAAAAATATCTATAATTTTAATATTACCTGAGTTAAAATCCCAGTGGCAGCTAACAACTCATTATAGAGTGCATCAGTGAAAATAAAGAAGGGAATGTAGCAAAACACATTTTTAAACAAATACTAATGAGGTGGTGTTTGCAACATCATACATTTAGATTACAAAGCTACAGTATTAAAAACTATGTGCTCTTGGCAGACAGACTAATGGAACAGAATATAAATCCAAAAAATATACCCAGGTACATGCATGTGTATATACTATGTAATAAACTGGCATTACTCATCAGTAATAAAAGGTGGATTATTTAAAAATACAAAATGATTCAATAGTAAAAATGTAAAAGAAATTATAATATGTAAATATACTCACTATAAAACTATCTGCCTACCTTGGTTCAATAACAGATAAACAGTGGGTGTGAATTTATCTGTTATTAAAATGAGGTAGATAGGTTTATCCAAGGCAAGAGAAGCAAAGAAAAGAATTGATAAACATAATTACTTGAAAGCAAAAACATTCAATGTCAATAAACCACATAAAAAATGTGAAAGGTAAATGACAATTTGGGGAAAATATTTGCAGCATACAAGACAAACAGAAGTTGAGTACCTTTAACACAAAAATTAAAATTAAATGTAAATATAACTTCTTTAAAAAAAGGAATGGTTAACAGAATAATACACGAAGACATGATTAGGAAATTTATAAAAAAGAATACTCATGATATAGAAAGATTTTTATCTGCATCAGAAAACAGCAAATTCTAAATTAAAACAGCACTCCATTTTCTCCTAAAAATGGCAAAGGTTTTAATATAGAAACAACCAGTGTTTATAAAGCTGCAAAAGAAGAACTATAGTACATTGTTTTTGAGAGTACTGTATGTCTATTTATCCATAGGTAAAAAATATAACCTAGGAATAAGTTCAAATAATTTATTGTCAGCATGGTGAATGTAGTTAATGACAATATATTACATTCTTGAGAAATGACAGAAGAGTGGATGTTAAATGTTCCTACCACAAAAATGATAACTTTGCGGGGTGATACATAGGTTAATTACTAGAATTAGCCATTCTACAATGTATATGTGCTGCAAGGCATCATATGGTACACAATAAACACATACAATTTTATCTGTCAATTTAAAACAATAAATTGATTAAGTTAAAAATGAGAAAAATAATTTAAGATACTTCACCAAAATGTTGACAGTAGTTATCAGGATGATGAGACAGGGATAGGGACACTTTTGTCTGCCTTCCTAATTTCATTTTCTCATTCTAAAGAACAAAATCATACTTTTACAAATGAAAATCAAGCGCCTTTTTAATTATTAAACATTTTTTTCTAAGATCTATGTAGAATTTTTATTCTTTTAGTGTTGTCCCGTCAAACAAACCTAGTTTATGTAGATACTAAGGTGAGCCCAGGCTAAAGCAACAGGACTATAATTTCGGAGAACATGAGAGGTATTTAGCCATTGCTGAGGCACAGCTCTGAAGCTCTGAGCTTCAGCTTTCTCTTGTTACTAGTGGAGGGACAAATGGATGGTGGGGGGCTCGGCTGAGAAGAGCAAGAGGCAGTGGAGGGATACAAATCGAGATGAACAGTGGCTGACTCGGCAAAACTTAAATGACTTTGCAAAAGACCTGTCACAATGGATAAACGGCTCCTCCTGAAGAAGCAGCTTAGCATTCCTGCAGTGCACACACAATTATTTCCAGGAATAAGACTGAGAGAAAGGAGAAAGCAAAAGGAAAGGAAAGATCAAAAGATGTTTTCATGAGTATACAGACATTTCTAAAATGAGCAACTGGGAAGAAGAAGACTGCAAAAGGAAACCCATAACAAAGCATGCATGTACTTCATTTTAAGCGTCAGTCACTAGGCAAACATCCGCTATCTCTGCTCTTCTGCTCTTGAAAAATGGTGAGTTGCTCTGTGGATATTGCCTACACTCTAATTGTTTTTATGGTAAATGAAGCATGAAACCTATTGTCAGAAAACACGATGTCCACAGTGTGCAGCCACACTTTGTCTTCCTGGCTGACCACTCCCAAGGAGTTAACGCTGTCTATGTGCCTAGGAGAGGATGCAGTACCACAACCTTGCATTTTTTTTTTTTTTTTTTTTTGAGACAGAGTCTCCCTCTGTCACCCAGGCTGGAGTGCAGTGGCTCGATCTTGGCTCACTGCAACCTCCACCTCCTGGGTTCAAGACGGGGTTTCGCCATGTTGGTCAGGCTGGTCTCAAACTCCTGACCTCGTGATCCTCCCGCCTAGGCCTCCCAAAGTGCTGGAATTACAGGTATGAGCCATGGCACACAGCCATTCTTGTATTTCTTCAGGGCAGATCTTTGGAGAAGAGCCCCCTCACCCACCTTGTTATTCATAATTCCTTCCGTGCAACAACAACACAAATCTTCTTGTGGGATGCTGGAAACCCTGTTATATCCAACGAAGAGGCAGGAGGGGAGGAGGGTGGTAGAGGTCTCCTCTTTAAAACATACACAGATTTGTGTTGACAAACATTGGTTACACTCTTTGTATTACAATAATAATCCTGATACCAACAAAAGTTCTAGGATTCACTCTGCTGATTATTACATCTCAGGATTTAACTTTATTCTTCAGAAACTAATCAAATGGTTCTCAAAAAACCTATTGATGGTTTGAAACCAGCAGATTTTATAAATGTTCTCTCTGTCATCTTTTTGTGACCATAAGCTTATTGGCTGGAATATTTTTGGGGTCAAGAAGTGCTCAGGGTGATCTCCCTCACAACCATGTAGTTTTCAGGTCCTTTTGGCAAGAATCACAATCTGTGTGGTCAACTGCTTCGTAACGAATAGGAAAATATATTACCATACAAATGTCTGGGTGAAATAGATAGTTTCCCTCCTGCTGATCTCCACCAAACTCCATGTTTGCCAAACTTAATTCAAATCTATTCAAAGTAGACATATTAATCACATCCTGTGTTCAGGTATCCTGCCCTTAAGGAGCTGCACCAGCCTAGGAAAGGTCAGAGGTCATGGAAGGACCTCTAGCTTCAATCCCCTTGGTCAGGATGCAATTGAAAAACTAACAGTTGTGTGAAATGGTGTGGAAAGGTAGGGGCAAATAATACTATCTCCTTATAATAACCTATATAGCAGCCATTGTATTTGAAGCCTGACATCAAATTCTTTAGACTTGAATTAGAAAAGGCATTTCTTTGATAGATTTCTTTTTGTTCCAGTTTGCAGGCAACTAATCCTCACTGCATTGGATCAAACAGATGGGCACAATCAATTTGACGAAAGCAAGCAATGCCAGTTCTGCTCAATCTTCCCTGAATGAGCAGCAGAGGAGACAGGGGGAAAAAGGGAAAGAAGGAAAAAAAATCCAGGCATGCCTACACCCAAGATAGCTTAGTAAAGGAAAAGATGAAAAGACAAGTTGAAATATATATGCTGGCAGGTGGAAGTGCTTGCTGTCAGAGGGAGAGTCTGAAAACACCACAATGATACCAAACGCACGAAGCCTTCAGACACTGAGGGGTGTTGAAGGGGCCAGGGCAGGCGGAAGTGGTTGTGATGTCAAAAGAAATCAGCAGCAGCAGCTCTATGGAGGAAAGAGCCCTGCACTTAAATTTAAGTTTCTGTAGTCTATGGTCTATAGCCCAGTGTGGTGAGCAAGTTAATTACTGCATTTAGATGTCAAGTCTCAGAAAACCAGAGCCTTCCAAAGCAGTATTAAGACATACTGCTACATCTTTCTAGGCTTCACTGGCCATTGGGTAAGAAGTCACACTGCAACAGCCGCCCAACAGGAACAGGAGGAAAATTCATGAAAATGAGCTAGAAATAAGATGGTCCCAGAATGAATGGCTTTCTCTCTGCCTTTGGATGTGAAGTGCATGACCAGATGCCTCCTCATTTACCAGGAAACACTTTCCCAACAGCTCAATTTTCCCATCCATTCTGACACTCAAAGTGTGGGCAATGACTTAGCTGCCTTTGGCTTCTTGGACTCCCCTCCATCCTCTCTCCTCTCATATGCCCATTATTTCTTCCCCTCTTGCCCCCTGAATTTGTTTTGGTCAAGTCTAAAATATTTCTCAACAGGAAAGAGCATCAAAAGGGCTCATTTGGATAACGGTTCTCCTTCCCTTGGCTCATTAACAATCCCCACGATTCTCAGAGATCCAGCCTTTCCCTGCTGTGGCTGGGAGTCGGGTTCTCTGAGCCAATGCGTTAATCATCTTCAAGTGGTTCCCTTCATCTTCCAAAAAGGAACTATGGTGTTTGAGAATGGGAAGAGAGTAAAACATTTCTTGTCTCCAAGTGCCTAGATATTGCCAATGAGATTGCCATTGTTGTTTTCTGAGTAATGGCTCAAAAATGTTATCTGTATACATATAAACACAGAACTGGCAAATATAAGTGTATGTAGATATCCATGTGTGTCACCAAGCCACATCTTCTTTATCATAAGTAAAATGCGTTACCTAGAAATATGTATAAATACATATAGTTTTAGATTTGCATATATATGTATGAACAGGCAGCATCCTCTTTATCATCAGTAGGAAATGATATGTTCCTGGTTTAGGTCATCCAATAGGGCCTAACTGCACCTACCTTTACCTGGCAGTTCTCCCGTATTTTGTCTGTGTAAAGACCCCTAGGTCCACTCGACTTTCATTACTGAGATATTCAGCAATGGAACTACCAAGGTCCAAATTTCTCTGAGCCCTTGGGAGCATCTTACCGCTGGAGGTGCTGGTCCAGAGCCTCCTCCTCAGCACTCAGCAAAGTTGCAGCTCGAGCCAGGAACTGATGGCTGCAGCTGGCAGATTTGAGCTCCAGGATGAGGAGGCCCAAGCAGAACATGGCTCCCATCTCCTCCAGTTCTCTGGTACCAAACTGTAGACCCTGCCAGTTAAACAAAGCATTAACCATGACAATGTATAATGGGAGCTGAGTGGTGACACATGAAGATTGGGAAGAAGGACTCCTACACACAGGCCTTTTTCAGACAGTGAGAATTAATTATATTTGTCAGTCGCTGTGCATTGTGTTCTGTTGTGTGCATTGTGGACTGGTGGTGATGTCAACATCCAGGGCTCCCCAGAAATACCCCCATGACAATAATGAGCTGGTAGGGGTTATAAAGGGAAGCAGGGTGCATGGAGATCCAGGAGTCTGTCCGCTTCCCACACCATGGTCAAAGCAGCAATGCTTTTATCTGTATTTTTACAACGGGTTTTTCACTGCTGAAAAAAAGCTCATAAACAATCTTACTAAGATATGCCTTTTCCTTCCTCTGAATTTATCAGCCAATGGAGAAGAGTAGGGGAAATCTTTCATATATAAATACTGAACACTGAAACTTTTTTAAAAAAACAACAGCAGCAGCATTCATTTAGAATCCCCTATTCAGCTGTACTCAGATATCCATAAAAGCAAAATCATGACATGTACTCTATTGTATAATTCATGAAGAAACAGATAATAATAACAATCGACAAAACTTAATTGATCACTTACTGCATGCCAGATAACCTTCTGAGCTCTTTGATTTGCATTAACTCAGTGGATCCTTACCAAAGCCCTATGAGGTAGAGATTGTTCTTTTTTCCATTCTACAGATAAGGAGATGCAGACTTATCAATACAACTAACGTATCCAAGGCCTAGCATCTAGTAAGCACCAGAGGCTAACAAGTAGGCTAACAAGTAAATTCAGGCTCAACTACTCAACATAAAAAGCTGTGTAGCAACTACAAGAGACTCCATTGTGGTGAGCTAGAAAGTGTGTGGTTTTTGAAGTTAGATCAGACTTAAGTGTGAATCCTGGTTTCACTAGTTTCTAACTGTGTGGGCTTGGGCTCAGTGAATGCTATTTGCCTTGATTTTCTTATCTGTAAAATGGAATCATAATTCTCTCTTTCATACCTAGGCATCTGGTGATAAGGAATATTTCACAGTCACAATATTGATCAAAATTAGCTCAATTTATCTTTCTCTCTTCCTATAAAGATATTTAATACAACAGAATTCAGTGTGATCCTGAGGCCTTCCTGTTTATAAAGTACATTTGACCTAAATAAAAAGTAATCAATAGTGAATCATTTTTTTGCAAATAGATTTTCACATCCAAATAATAATGATTTATTATGGAGGACAGGAATGGAGCAATAAGAATGCAAAAGGATTGCTCATAACCACCCCAAGGAGAAACAAAATTCCAAATTGGGAAATTGTAAACCTCACAAAAGAATTCCTGGCTAAAAGCACTAAAAAGGTAGAAAATCCTCAAATTTATTTCAGCTGTTTGAAAATTTGATTTGCTGCATGTTTTGACACCTGTTTTCCTAAAGAAAGGAGACATTACTTCAGAGTTAAGGGAAGTCAGTTCCTCCTTAAGCAACAGCAGCCAGAAGGGAAAGACAGATGTTGAACAAGTTGTTTTTGTTCTTAAGTCAATAGAAAAGATCACTTTTTAAAGAGACAGAAATCTCAGTCTCTTTTTTAAAGCTCCAAGGTCTGATTCTTTCCCCACCCCTTTTTCCAGGTTACTTTTATAAAATTCTAGAATGGCTGGCTTGGTTGGAAGAAAGTGAAGGTCACCCCCTCCTGCTCAGTCAGCCGCCTCACGGATGGCAAAGGAGAGGCCAGGAAGACTCTCCTTTGTGAGAGTAAGACTCTGGCCCTCAGGGGCAGGAGCACTCACACACACATTTGCAACCCCAGCCTCTAGTAGACACATAACAGGTGCTCTGTAGAGGTTGAAAGGAGGAGTCCTTCGGGAAAACAAACCTCAGAGTGTATGCCATACTGGTAGGTTAGGGAGAGTTCGTCATACCAGACAACTTCTATACAGTAACAGCAAAAATGATAGTATTTTATAATGTAAAAAAATTTGATGCCCCAGATGATGGCCCACATATTTCAGGTCATGGTTGTCATTGTAACAAGTAGTCCAGAAGACCTTGATTAAAGGAACTTGTACCACTTTATTGGCTGTGGAGACTTGGGCAAGGCCCTTATATTCCATTTTGCACTTCACTATTAATCTCTCTTTACTACTCGAGTTATTTTTTTTCTTTATACTCTCACATGGCATAAAACATATTTGAGTGTTGTGTTTGTTTTTGATTAGTTTTGTTTTAGAGAAAGGGTCTCGCTCTGTCACCCAAGCTGGAGTGCAGTGGCACTATCACAGCTCACTGCATCCTTGAACTCCTGGGCTAAATATATTTGTTTATGTAGATGACCTCCTCTCACACCCCATCACTGGTGTGGAAGAGAGCTTTTCAAAGGCAAAGACTGAGGAGTATGTTTCTTCCTTTACATCCCTGGCATGGAACACACACCTGTCAAATGTCATATCCTTAGTATGTGATAAATGGATAAATAATGACTCTAAATGAGTGTATGTGGAGAGGCATGGATGGATTTTATCTCTCAGATGCATATTGTATCTGTCAAGTAGAACTTGACTTCTCTGGGTTTGGGCATGTGAGTGCCTTTAAATCTTGCTCTCCCATTGTCAATGTTGTGAGTATTAAAAATAAAAATTGATTTTATTTTGGCTCCAGGAGACTTATTCATATCACTGGATATAAACTGGGAAACAGGTAAATAAAATTTAGAAATTTTGACCTCCACTTTGGTCAGTTATCATGGGTTCACAGTAGAAAGGTGATGAATAAAACCGGCTCTGGGTATGTTTAAAAGTGAGTATAAATAAGACAGAGATCCAGTTCCCTTCTCACCCAGCTCAGATGTCTTAATTAGAAATTTTTTCCACAGACGGTTAAACAAAGTCTGACTATAGTGACTTAAACAAGGTTTTATTTTGCACAAAAATAAATTTGAGGGAAAGGTAAAAGGTTCACGGCGTATAGGTCCCTATCTCTGCACGGTATTAGTAAGCAAGGCTAACCAGCACAACCCTCTCTGTGTTTTTTAACAGCTTTTCTTGATAAGTCACCACAAAAGAAGAATAGTTATGTTAGATATCTGTAAGACAAACATCAGGTCCAAAAAAGATGTTTAAATAGCATAAATACTGATAATTGGTGTGCAAAAGAAAAAAAAATAAGCAAATGTGGGAAAATGTTCCATTTCATTATTTAAATAAAAATGCCTTCTACACTCTGCAAATTGATGGACTATTACGTATATAATATACATATAATATTCTCTTACTATATTATATAAGTTTGCTTACTATATATATGTGTGTGTGTATATATAGCATGTGTGTGTGTGTGTGTGTGTGTCAGAGTTTCACTCTTGTTGCCCAGGCTGGAGTGCAGTGGCATGATCTCGGCTCACTGCAACCTCTGCCTCCTGGGTTCAAGCAGTTCTCCTGCCTCAGCCTCCCACGTGGCTGTGATTACAGATGCCCGCCACCACGCAACTAATTTTTGTCTTTTGAGTAGTGACAGGGTTTCACCATGTTGGCCAGACTGGTCTCAAACTCCTGACCTCAGGTGATCCACCCACCTCAGCCTCCCAAAGTGCTGGGATTACAGGCATGAGCCACCGCACCCGGCCTATATTTTAAACTTAATAATACTTAGTGCTGACCCTCATGCTGAAACTGGCACATATCAAAATACCTGGTGGAAGTGTAAATTGATTGAGACCTTCAGAGCAGTGGCCCTGTAACATTTGACATGGTAATGTCACTTCAGGGAAACCTTCCTAATAAACTGAACCAAAATAAAAGGGAAGCTATAGGCATAAAAATGTATATTATGACAGTATTATATATAATAATCCAAATTTGAGGGAAATAAAACCGTAAGTGTCTAATAGGGGAGTAATGACTAAGGAAATTGTGGTGGAATAAATTTGATGGACTATAGGGAAGCTATTAAAATGATAATTATAACAACCATTTAGAATATGAAAAATGCTTAGGATTTAAATAAAGTTGAATAAAGTCAAGGTACAAAGCAGGCAGTTATACAATTTACACCAAAGGGTTGGCAATGAAAGCAGAGGTGATGGTCCTCAGACCCCACTCCCTTCCACCCACACTTTCAGGCTTTATTGCTATAGTTTGCCAAAAAAATGTAAACATTTCCAGGAGAAGAGGCTCTATAATATCATCAAGAAAATATCCACATAGTTCAGAAATTTTAAAGAATACTTTAAGAAATTATTGCAACCTGGAAAAAACTGTTTTGAAGGTTATATATGCCTACAAATGAATGGTGGGATTCAGGTTAGCAGTTTGTAAGATCTTCTCTTTATCTTGGATTTTCTGAAGTAGATTTCAATTTATTTTCATTTATTTGGGATTTATTGATAGGATCATTAATATGTTTCAATCATTCTAGAAAAATGTCATCCAAGATCTTTTTGAATATTGCCTCTCCCTTATCTCTGTCAAGGAAATCAAAGATAAGTTAATATTCAACGTATGTTTTCTATTTTCCCTTTGTCCTCCACATCTTTTAACCTTACTTTCTTATTTTCTATTTCTTTGTTTCACTGTAGTAAATTCTGATTTTTCTCATGTTTTTGTTCCATATTAATAATTCTTTCTTCAACTAGATTGAATCTACTTGTAAACTCATTCATCTCAAAACCATTTCTAAAAAACATATAACCATGGTTATTTTATATTACCATACCTGATTATTCCTGCATATGCAGTGTTTCTGGGCATCATTCATTAGTTTGATTTTTCTGTTGAGTGTCAATAGTATAGGCCTGTTTTCTCAATTATTTGATAATTTTTAAAATTCTAAACTTATTTTTTTTGAATATTAAAGTCTGTTTTTGTAGATCGGTGTTAGTGCTCTTTTCTTTATCTGGACCTTTTGTTTTTCTCCCCTAAGTACTTGAGGACACTGCCAATCAGAAACCACTACAGACAGCATTTTTGGCTTGAGACCTTTTGGGCTACAGGGA